CCTCTGGCTGTGTGACCCCAGTCTTGGTGTCCTCACCTAGGGGTTGGGGTGCCATATGGGGAAGTTGCTGAGGGCTATAGGAGAGTCAGTATGTGAAGCTGAGCACCCAGTAGCACTTTTGTGTCCTGTGGTGGTGGCTGCTGCCATTGCCCTCTGCCTGGTCTTAGGAGCTTAGCACTAGACCTGCAGCAAAGCTCCAAGTGGCCTTTCCTCTGTCTCCTAGAGTTTCCTAACGGAAGAGGTTGATGAGTCATCGCTGAAGCACGGTGAGCCCCTCAGCTCTCTGAAGCCTGACTCCAGAGCCTTCCCGGAAGCACCTTCCTCTGGGCGAGCTTTGGACACAGGCTGGGCCAGCCCTGCTGCTGCTGCTGGGGCCTCCTGACTACTCCCCCACATTTCCAAGGAACAGTCGTCGTGTTTCTGGCCTTGGGTCATCAATCCACAGTGTTGGTGGAGGCCTTGTTCACTGGCTGGCCTCCTGTGCCCGACCAGGACAGGGTAGCTTGAGTGGGGGACAAGGGTGTGTTTGCTGTTTTTGTGAGTTGTCGTCTCTCTGCTGGCTGAAATGAAAATGAGGATGACTTGGCCGGGGATTTAGCTCAGTGGTTCTGCTGCCTGCCTCTCGAGCACAAGGACCCGAGTTCCATCCCTGGTACACAAAAGAAGAGAAAATGAGGATGACTTGAATCTCCTCACCCCTTCCAGTAGCAAGAGGGTGTGACCCGAGCCCCAGAGGGCTTGGCCTGCCCACCCCAGGAGGCTGTGGTATGTGGCGAGGAACCTCCCCAAGCCTCCCCCACCATCCCAGTCCTTCCTCACCAGCGTCTTTGCTGGACCGTGGAGGAAAGAAGGTACAGGGCTGGCATCAAGGAGAAGCCCAGGGCCACTTAACAGAGGTAGCGGGGCCACAGTGTGCTCCTGGCTGGTGGAGGACCAGCAGGATGGCAAAGGCCCCAGAAGAAAGTGAAGCCACTGTGTCGTGGGGGCCGACCCACATCCCTCCCAGGGAGCGTCCGACACCAGCTGTGCAGGCCGCTGCGCAGGGTTCTTCAGACACAGGAGGCCCTGGTGCAGGGGCTGGGCTCTGGGCGTGGGTGTGTCCCAGAAATTGTGCTGCACCCCATCCCTTTAGGTGTCACCTCTTGGGTTTCTGTTTGGGGATCTAGGTCTGTGAATAAAGAATGTGGAGCCATAGTCCCAGCTGTGTGACCTTGGCAGTGAGACACTCATTGAGTCCCTCTGCCTCTCCAGGCCTCAGCTTTCCAAGCTTGATCTTGGACCCTTCCTCCACTCCCTGCACACCTCTGCCTGGGCAGAAGCACATGCAGGGACAGGGCACCCTGGCTTGCTTGGGCCATTCTTCTGCCGGAGGACACTGAGCAGCACCGAGAAGTGCAGGTCTCAAGCTGAGGAGAATGTGTGTGGGTAGAAGCAGGCTGTGTAGCTCACCATGCAGGACAGCAGGGCCACAGGCCAGGCAGGGATGAACACGGCACAATTTAAGGTTTTCACAGTACAAACAGAAAAAGCCCACTCTGGGGGAGAGAAGGAGAGAGAAAAGGGAGAGTCCACCTTTGGGGCCACTGGAGAACTGGTGGAATCAGAGTGCAGCAGGACCTGCCCGTGCCTGTTGGTCCTGACCTCGCTTCCCTCTCCCATCTGCTGCAGGGAGCCAAGTGGCACCCATTGAAGAGGTCCTGCAGGATGGCACCCCCGAGCACCAAGGCTGTGCCCAATCAGGTCCTCCTGCTGACATCTACCTGCCAGGTAATAGCATGAGGGGCTCACCTAGGCCTGAGGGTGGGGCTTGCTCTAATGCCTTGTGAATGGCAGAGGGCTGGCTCCTCAGGAGCTAAGTCCCTGTCTTTAGCTGTTAGCCAGGCTACTGCCATCCTGCCAACCCCGAAAGCAAGACTTGAGCTAGGCCCACATCTGCTTGGCGTCCTCCTGCAGGCCCCTTCCTGCCTCACTCTGCTCAGCCTTGGAAAGGAAGAAGAGGCTACATGTAGGAAGACATGGTGGTTTTTCTCCCACCACCTCTTGCTGGGGGCCAGGTGGGCCAGTTTGGTCCCAACCGGCATTGCTATCTTTCATTCCTGATCCTTACCAAGAGCATAGCAGGGCCACTGCCTTGGGAGCTGCAAACAGAAAAGAGGCCTAGGGTCATACTGGGTGCCAGGGGGTCCAGCCCTGGCCCAGGGGCCTGGCTTCTAAAGCTAAAAGTAGTGCTGTGCTCACCCAGTGCGTCCTCCGCTTGCCTTCCCAGGCTGTGGCAGCTGGAGTGGGGGTAGGGAGGACCAGGCAGAGCTGCTGTGTCCCTGCTCGTGGGAGTCTGGCTGAGGTGTGGTTGGCAGCTCCTCCTTGGTGGCGGCAGATGGATGTGTGTACGTTGTTCTAGAGCCCCTCTTGTCCTAACGTGGGTGTCTTTGCTGGGGAGTGCACTGACTTATCTCCCCCCTCGCTGCCAGCACTGAGGCCTGCTCTCAGTGTAGAGGAGGAAGCTGCCTGCTTGGGTGGCTCTGCCAGGCAGCCTTGGCGAGACAAGCCTCCTGCCCTGCAGGGCTTCCTCTGCTTTCCATCTTTATCTACCTCCATGTCTTCCGGGGCCTCCCACAGCTGCTGAACCTTCGCCTTGAAAGGTGGCCTCCAGCAGGCCTGGCTTGAGGAGCTGGAGGTTTTCTCCCTAGACTAGGCAGCCTGATCAGGCTCATCTAGTGAGTAGGGTCCCCATAGCAATGGACTTGGCTCGGGTATGTGTAGCTGCCATCCCCAACTGCCAGGGCCTGGAGGATCAGGGAGCCTCAGGAAGACACTAACCAGTGTCCAGGGGGCATCTCCAGCCCTCATCAAGACTCACTCTGGGTCGTCCTAGAGCCTGATCCCAGTGTTCCCATAGTAGACACATGGGGCATCCAGCAGGCTCCCTACTCTCTGCCCACGGCTTTCAGCAACAAATACGCCGCAGCTGTGTAATGCCTTGGTCTTCTAGCACAGTCCTTGCAGGGGTGTGGAAGTGACAGTCCAGGAATGAGCAGAGCAGGCCTCTGAAGGAGGTGGGCAGGCTGTGAGGCCCTCTGCCTCAGAGAAGCTGCTCCCTGGGGTGCCTCTGAGAACCACCTGCTCCTACTCAAGCTGCTCCCTTTTCCTGTCCTGCAGTTTGACCAGGGGAGTGAAGCCTAGGTCAGTGGTGGCACACATAAGGTACGCGTTCTGCAGTGGCCTCCTTGTATCATTGAAAGCTCTACAAGGTTCGTCATCACTGGCCTAGGTGGTAAAGCTCATGGCGGCATGGATCTGGCTGAGGGAGGGGCCGGCAGCCGATGGGGCCTGCAGCATCCCTGCCAGGCTCCCATAGGTGATTTGTCCCAAGGGACACGGACCTCACTTGCCCTCAGTGTAGTTATAAAAGAGCAAGTCTGCTGTTCCTGCCAGACAGCCAGTGCGGGTGCTGGGTGGCCCTGCCTGTTTCAGGGCTCTTGAGTTGACGGAAGCAAGTGAGGGCACCAGCCGAGTCTGACGCTCCCTCTGACTCTGTCTACAGGTTGGCCCACCTCCATGGAGACGCCTCACAGCCTCAGCACCCCTGGGCCCCCCTGGCCTCCGCTTGGGGGCTCCAGTCCTGAACCTGGGACTTCTGACCTGACCCCACTCTGAGAGCCTGGTTTGGCTAGAAGCATGGAGCCCTCAGTCCTCCGGACTCTGCTGAAGGACTGCCCTGGACTTCAGCGTGGCCCCAGCCTCTCCTGTCTGTAGGCCCTCTGTGGCAGCAGCCTCTGAGGGGCTAGGTGGCCCTCGATCAAAGAGCACAGTGGATTGTCCACTCTACAAACCCTCTTTTTCTATGATTGACATATTTGTAAATGGTACAAGATGAAGGACAGCAGCTTTTACCCTGGCCCCTGGCCCCTGGGGTTCCCCAAATGCCAGAGTCAACACTCAGAAAACTGGCAGAAGAGGAGTTATTGGTGGGCGGTGTGCTGTTTGCACAGACCCTCTAAGTGGGGCAGGAGCCAGAGTCTCGGCCAGTGAAGGAAGCAGTGCCTGTCTGCCCACCGCACCTGTGTGTTCCTTGTGGTGGACTGGCCCTTGCTGCTGCTTTAGCCCCCTGGTGTGTGTGGCGGCCATGGGTGGCCTTCCGTAGTGCCAGAGGGCCCACCTGCTCTGCTCTCTGCCCTTCAGCGGCCCTTTCCCTGGCGGCTGGGGCAGCATAGCCCATGTACAGCAGTTGGTGCCCAGTGGCCTGGTGCCCATGCCCTGTGCTTTCTCACAGGCACTGCTCTGCTCCCTCTTCAGATGATTCCATAGTGGTGGCATTTCATTTCTGCCGCCGCTGCCCAACCATGTGCAGCGGCTCCTTTAGTTCCCCTGATATGTTTTCTATGTCCTTTGCTTTTCTCTAAGTCAGCCTTATGAGAGAAGCGCAGGGGCTCCAGATGCTTGTGCCTCTGCAGGGCCCGCATCCTGTGGTGCGTGCAGCTTCCCTGGCTAGAGAGGTTGGAGTGCCCCAGCCTGGGGAGCTTCAGTTCCCTGCCTCCTGTGTTGGCTGAGAGGTAGAGCCTGCCCTAGGGCTCAGTGTTGCTGGAACCCCAGCTTTGCCCACTGGGACGCTAGCGGGGAGAAACCCAGCAGTGGCCACCTTGTTCTTGGGTCAGCCTGGATGTAAAGCGCTGTCTTTAAACCCTGCTTTCGCCCTGCCTGCTGTAGGTTCACGCATGCACGCCCCTCTCCTGGACAGGTTGGTGGCAGTATTTTGAAGGACAGGATGCAGATTAGTCTGACTTGGACTCTCATGTTCTAGAATTTGATGTACTCTGACTGGCTAGTGTTTTTGTTTTTACTGTATATTTATAGTAATAAAATCACGCAGCAATATCCTATCTGGGGTGGTGACTTTCTTGGTGCATGGGCAAAATACTTAGTGGTTCCTGGTAACTTGTGACCTCTGCCTCAGTTTCCTCATGTAGGATGGCAGTGACAGCATCATTCCCCACCACTGTCGAGTGTTTCTTAACAATTTTTGTCTTTGTCATTGTTCACAATCTGGTGTGAAGCCAGACTTGGGCTGGCCCAGACTCCTGAGTGGGTGGTGGTGGAGCTGGCTGTCAGTGTGTGTATTGTTCTACTCCCATCTCACATTTCTGCCACCAGTGTTTCCTGAGCAGCATGTGTGTGCTAGAGGAGGGCAAAACACAAGGTCCAGGCTCCTGGTATTTGCATCAGAGTCGGTGAGACACTGTGGAGATAATCAGTCTTTTAGGTAAGATCAGTGGGGTGACCAGATGAAGTCATATGGGGGACTTAACTAGGTGATCAAGCAGATTTTTTGATCCCTGAAAGATGAGTGCTCTAAGCAGCTAGAACATCAGGTGCAAAGGCCAGGTGGCAGGAGTGAAGTTAGTGTGTCCCTAGTGGAGAGAAACTTGTTGGCTGGATAACTTGAGCAAGGGTGTTGGGGTCAATACTGAGCACTGTGTAGAACAGCTGGAGTGTTTGTTTTGTTTGTAAGGGACAGTTTTGAAAGGTTTTTGAGATGGTGTTACTGTGTAGTCCAGGCAAGCCTTGAACTCTTGATCTTTGTGCCTCAGCCTCCTGGGTGTTGGGATTATAGGCATGCATCACAGATACCCTAGCTAAGACTAGTCATGTTCTTTTTTTTTTTTTTTTTTTTTTTTTTTTTAA